TTCATCTGAATATTAGCTCCATATATACCACTAAGTGTAGACAGGATAACTTGGGCAGAGTGTATATAGAGATGAGCCCTAATCTCTCATTGCTCCTGCAAGAAAAAGAATGGACATACGTTGATCTTACAGATGTTCTAGACTTGTTAATTGTCTGTCTTGAGAGGTGTGCTGTCCATTCACCTTCTCAGTGCATAATGTGTAATAGCTAGGTTTTGCATTATGAGTTAGCACTGTGCAACAGTGAAGGGATTGGGGCATACAGAATTCTTCTAGTGATAAACAAAAAGCCTTACCCCTCAATTTACTCTATCCATTCTACTCAGTTTTACACCACTTATGCTCTCAGTTTATTTATCTTTATGTACTCTTTGAACAGTAAAGTACTCTTTTATATTCACTGGAGAGGAGGTAGGGCCACTGCCTAATTTGATATAAGCTAAAAATAGCAGAAACTAGTTTAGAATTCCATTCCCTGTTCCTGAGTGCAGATCCAGGGAGGATGTAGATGGAAGGTTCAAGAACCTTTTTGAGGCAGACCCCACCCTTTTTTCCCTAGGTATTCCCATTGTTTAACCCTTGCATCTACAATTGGTGAAGCTGAGGTCTTAATTAGAGTTTGTTTGTTTATCAAAGTTAGAAGGCTGCCCAACTCCATAAAGACTGTGGGCAGCATACAACCTTAAAAGCCATAACAGCAGTAAAACAAGGAAAAGAATGATAAATATTGGGAAGATAAATATTCAGACTAACTATACACTCCTATAAAGGGCTTGCCATTCACCCTAATCTAAGGCCTGGGAAAATGTCCAGGTTTTCAGAGACTTTTTAAATAATGTCACAGTGGGGGCCATATGGATCTCTGGAAGATGCTGTTCTAGAGGGCAGATGCTGTGACCCAGAAGGCACACGTCCTGGATTCCAATAAATGACATTACTTGATTGATAGAACCTAGAGGAGACTCATTTTTTCACATCATATAAAGTCTGATTGGAAATAGATGGTCCTCAGATAACTTTATAATTCAAGTAACCCGGAAGCCAAGTGGCTATCACTGCAGCTCACAGGACAGCAGTACTACATAGGCATACTGAGGCATGCCCATTACTATCTATATCACTGCATTCTGGACCAGCTGGAGTTTCTGGGTGGCCTCAAGGGCAGCCCCATTGCAATAGTCCATGAGCAAGGTGACTGGGGCATGAATGACCATCTGAAGGGCCTCCTGGTCCAGGGACAGGTGCAACTGACACAACAGATGAATTTGTGCAAGGATCTTCCTGCCACAGCTGCCACCTACCCTGAGCAGGAGTTGTGAGTCTAATAGATACCCCAGATTGTATACAAATACCAATATCCTGAACTGGGAATTACCTGAATATTCACAGCCAATTAATCTTGCTAGGATTAACCTGATTCTATTCCTCCCCATACAGTCCCTCATACCCTCCTGTAGAGAGTAAGAAATATGACCTTGATGGAGATATGATGGACAGTTATCTAGGCAAAAGAGGCTAAAGCATGATTTCTTGGTCTGGGCTACCTAGTGGGGTTGACACCTTCAGACACTAGGATGTCGGCAGCATTGGTTGGGGAGCCTGGTATCACAATGTACATTAGGTATCATCTGCAGTGATGGTTGACCTTGCCCAGCTCAGGTAGATATTAAACAGAAGGAGTGAGAGCACTGAACCTTCAGGCACCCCGCAAGTGAGGGGCCTTGGACTCACCCCTCAAACCAACTTGAACCACCCACAGAGAAAGGAGAACCACTACAAAGTAGTCCCCCCCCATCCTTGGAAGCAGTCCATAAGGATACCATGATAAATGGCACTGAAAGATACTGAGAAATCAAGGAGAACCTGGACAATACCACCATTCCTGTCCCATGATCAGTGCTGTCTCCATGCTGTCTGAAACCTGTGTCAGGTTCTGAAAGGATATCAAATTGATGACTAAATTAAAGGCTCTGAGAAGATAAATGGTTGCAGTATGCTATTTGCATTGCTATTTTTCTAAGCTGCTTGTATTGCATGCTCCCCTTTTGTACAAATGTTCTTTCCCCATTGTTTTCATCACCAAGGTTCTATCTAGGTTCCACCAAAGTTCTCTAGAGATGAGATTAAACTGAAGTAACTTCCTACTACTAGTTTAAGAAATAAGCTGTGTCTTCTTCTCTCAGTGTGTCTTACATACTGCTATATATAAATAACATATCATGATAAATTGCAGAATTAATCTAATCTGATGTTCCAGCATATCTTTGTAAGTAAAATGAAGTAGTGATTTGGGTCTATTCATCTACTTCAGTGGGAGTGTTTTGAGTGATAACGCTTATTATATTAGAGTAATTTATTTTACTTAAGATATAGAATAAGATGCCAAAGTTGACATTTATCTGTGTTTCAATATACTGAATATAGAATACACTGTTAAGAATTTGAATGGGGTGGGGAAAAGCGATAGTCTCCTTTTGAATGTTAATAAGGATTTGATAATTAATAACTTATTTCATTTAGTTCTGTTGTGTTTAACAATAATTCTCTATTTTTATAGGAATTATGTTCAACATTAGAGAATTCACACAGCTAGGGATCAAAGTACAACTGCACAAGTACCCTGTAGTACTTTGTCTGATCAGAATATCCTAATCTGTGAAATATATTAACTGGGAAATACTGTAAACTCATCTGGGAAAATGGTATGAGAAGAGAGATTATAGCAACCCTCCCCACCACGTGGCTTTATGAAGCCTATTCAGCAGCTAGTCTCATGCTCCTTAGAGTAGGGCTTTGCTTTGAATCTCCAACTCTTGACTTCACATGGCTTAATTTGACTGCTCAACTCAAAGCCAGCAGACATCGTTCAGACCCTCAACATGGTGTACTTAGATAAAAATCCTTATTACCATTAGAAGGAGACCACATTAAACAGCGATTCCCTTTTAAATGGGAGCCCTATGTTTTCAAAAGCTAGGGTTGGGGAAGATGTCAAGTGAAGTGCCCCCTGGAAGATAGGTGGTAGCAGAAGTAACTACAGACCAGCAACACCGGAGCAGAGATGGGGCAGGGTGTTTGGGCTCAGTGGGCTTCTTGGGAAAGAGGTATGAAACCTCCAGTCTTTCATTCTCTGGGCTCAGCAGGGCCACTACACTCTGACTTTACTAGCATAAAGTAAAGTAGTAAAGTAGTAAACTAAAGTATACTAGCATAGCTAGATAAGAATCTTTATTACAATTAGACTGACGCTATTTTTTATTGAACAGTAGTTTACACAAAGAGAAAACCCCCCCACAGAATATACCATTTATGAGGACAAATACAAAAAATAACATGAATAAATAAAAAGTAAAAAGCCCCTGTGAACAACAACAACAAAGTCCACAAGTTGTTCATAATTTCCATATATCATAAGAGTTCCCAAAGTTACACCTGTTGTGATTAACATAACAAATATAACCTGCCTAACTTGACAAAAATGCGATTCTTGCATCTGGAAGTTTATTCTAAGTTTATTAGTATCTTTTTGTAGTTTTCAAGATATTTCCAACACTGAGCATTAATTAATCTGGCTGCCAAAACTACATAGACAATCAGCTCCTTATTTTTAAGTGAGCCAATGGATCATAACCTCAGAGGATTGTTGCTGTGGGGAAAGTAGGAAGAGGAAAGAGTATTAGATATGTTCACCAGCTTGAGTTATTTATAAAAATAATAAAGGTGGGATAAAAAAAAGATAAACAAACAAACAAACAAATAAATATTGATTCAAGAACCCTAGCTGTGGAGAACATCTGACTCTTAATTTGTAGTCATACTAATGTCACTTATAATGTTGTACCAGAAGAGCATCACCTGATGCTCTTCTGGCACAACATTATAAGTGACATGAGTGACACTTCTGCCAGAAGATTATCCAACATTCTGAAGAGTGATTGTGTGGGATTTATGCTAATTTAGCAAGGGTTAATTGCCACCTTCAATTGCAACTCTTGGGTAGAGACAGAAAGAAAACCTCTTGATTTCCATAATGATTGCCATTTTGGTTCAACTATTATATTGCCCAAATCAGTATCCTAAGCCAGGATTAATTTAAGCCAGGGTTCCTCAACCCCAGCAACTCAGCAACCAATGCTGGCTGGGGAATTCTGGGAGTTGAAGTCCACTCATCATAAAGTTGCTACGGTTGAGGAACCCTGCTTTAAGCCATAAGAGGGATTCCTTGCTTCAGTTACAAAAATAACGTAGAGATCTTTGACAATATTCCTTTTGGTTGTGCCAAATTAGTATCAAATTCTCAAAGATAATGCATGGACAAGTTATGGCATTCCTAACTTCTTCTTTGTCCAGTACCGTGTTGATCTAATGCTCAATCTTGTCCTATGTTGCCTGGTATTGGTATAACAATCATTTATCATATCAACATTACAATTTCTCAATAATTTTAATTGAGTTAATCTATATTGATTCTCCCTCTTTGGGGGAAAAAAACATTAGAGGTGCTAAAGGGGAGATGAAACTGAAACCACATTTCATTGCCCTCTGTCCATATAAAAGCCTAGTTCCATCTTTTATTCATAGAAGCTTAAACCCATTGCTTTTTCTTGCCTTTCCTATGTTTCAAAGGAGCCTTTACATTGTATTTTCTGATTTTGGTTGTTGACATAACTGACATCTCTTCCCTGAAAACCTTGGCTCTTGCTTCTTATGGTAACGGTTAAAAGAGGAGGGGTGACTCTTTGTGTTCATATGGAAATTCTGTTGCAATTTTTTTATTTGAGTTAATATACGATTTAATCCATCTAATTAATTAGATCAGCATTACATTAAACACCATTTATAATAGTCGGAAATAATTGCTTAGTTCAACATTGGTTCCTTTTTAATAAATAGTTAAAAACATAGCTTTCCACCATATCTACAGCAACTTTGAATGTCTGTCTTTTCTTATCATCGCTGTACTTTTTTTCCTGTTCTTCTCCCCCTCCCTCAAGGAGCTAACCGTATCAGAAAAACTACATATTATGTCTCGTCTATGGATTAAGTGCCTGGCGGTTTGGATATTATTGAAGGGAGTTAATGGCGATAATGTTATGCAGACCAAAGCTCCTATGTATCCCGACCAACCTTTCATTGTGTTCTGGAATGCCCCTACAGAACAATGCCGGCTGCGCTACAAAGTGAATTTAGATCTCAATACTTTTCACATTGTACCAAATCCCAATGAGACTTTAAGTGGGTCTGTTGTGACAATATTTTACCCTACCCATTTGGGGATCTATCCCCATATTGACGACCATGGGCATCTCATCCATGGGGTTATACCACAGAATGAAAGCCTCACCAGACATCTCACTAAAATGAAATCAGATATCAACCGGATCATCCCATTGAAGAGATTCCATGGACTTGGAGTCATTGACTGGGAAAACTGGAGACCCCAGTGGGATAGAAACTGGGGCAGTAAAAATGTTTACAGAACCAAATCTATTGAATTTGCTAGAAAATTGCACCCACAGTTGCCTGAAGCCAAACTCAAGAAAATTGCTAAGGAAGAATATGAAAAAGCTGGGAAGAACTTCATGAAGGATACACTTATACTAGCTGAAAAAATGAGACAAAGTGGATATTGGGGTTATTATCTGTATCCAGATTGCTATAATTATGATTATAAAAACAGACCTGATCAATACACAGGCAAATGTCCAAATATTGAAATTTCACGGAATGATCAACTACACTGGCTATGGAAAGAAAGTACTGCCCTTTTTCCTTCTATATATCTTGAAATCATATTGAAATCAAGTGCCAATGGTTTGAAATTTGTGCACCATCGCCTTAAGGAATCAATGCGCATTGCTTCCATGGCTAGAAAAGATTACGCCTTGCCTGTTTTTGTATATGCCAGGCCATTCTATGCTTATACCTTTGAACCTTTAACAGAGGTAAGGTATTGGAGTGTATGAATCTCAGAATCAACTTCTGTTGACAGCTACACTACATGTTTATTAGAACTCTAATGTTAGATGAAAGGACTCCTGGAAGATTTCACTTCCGCTGGTTCTGCTCTCCTATAACAGTATACCCATTAGCATGCTTCAAGTTTTCACCTCTTGAACACTAGTATCTGAGAGGTTTAACATGGGTAAATCTGTTGCATGTCAGATTCTTCATGTAATCAGGAATCCTGACTGGTTAGGATCCTTGAAGTTGAAGGACCCTAAGTAAAACAGGCTAGGACTATTTTACATCAATGTCAATCACATGGCCATGGAAAAGGAATAGTCAGCAGGTGCAATCCCACATCTCTCAGGTGTTCCCTGAGCTGCATGTATGTATATGTTGACTACTGGAATGATGCAAATCTGAATATGCATGGAATAATGTACAACACTACTTTCATAGGTAAACCTGCTATCCTAGGGTTGAATTGCATATTGCAAAGTTGACCTTAAATAGTTCATGTCTGTGACACAGCAGAAAATGCCCTTGTCTCTCAAGGCAAGAGGCACAGTATTGTAAGACAATCAAGTTATTTTGGCAGATGAAAATTTCACAACGTACAGTAAAATATAATGACAAAGTTTAAGTCGTTAAAATTGGGATAAAATGCCTGCCAGCAGCACTGTTTACCTAACAGTAGGATTCGCTTTGCCACATAAGAGATACCTGATTAGATCTTTCAACTTCTTACTAAATTGAAGAGTACCATAAGTGTGGCTGTAGATTTGCTCCTAGGAGTATTGCAGGGATGGGATGATAGGACAGGATAGGGAATGTAATGTCCGATCCTCACTATCTAGTCAATCAAATTTCCAGGCAGCAAAAAATAAAATATAGGTATCCAGATATTTTTACCTCTTCAGTGAAAGTGAGATCCAAATAAAAGCTAAGCATTATATATTGATTCTATTCTCTCTTCTCCCTGCTCAGTATATCCAGTATTCCTGTATTCCTGTACCGAGTACATATATGTCATATATGTCATTTGTATTTCAGTGGACGTATTATTGCCTTATTTTTTAGCAATTAATGCCAAAAGCACAATTCCGCATCTAAGCTATAATTCAGGAATGAGAATACTGGAATACCTTGAATCTCCAACATAGTGCTTGAGAACACCTATTTATTTATTTATTTATTTATTTATTCATACATTCATACATTCATACATTCATACATTCATACATTCATACATTTATACATCACATTTATATAGCCGCCCATCTCACACAAAGTGACTCTGGGTGGCGTACCACAATGAAAATAAAATAAAAGTGAATAAAAACAGGCATTATAAAAAGATAAAAAGTTGTGTCTTCTAACATATGTTTTGGTGCTTGCCGAGATCCCTGCCCTACCTAATTCATTTTCAAGGATCTTTTAAAGATAGCGTGAGGAACCAACTATAGTCATAAGCAACACAACAACTGCAAGCATAACCTGTACATTACATATAACAAGTTTTCTGTGCCCTGTATATGAGTGGCAATTTTAAACTGTTGGCTCTCTCTCTTTCTCCTTTCCTTCTAGTGTATAACATTTTTTTTTGATTAGCAACAGCCCCCATAGCAATAATTTTGTGAGAGTCCCAATACCACATTTCAAAATTCCCAATGCACCCACTGGCCCAGAAATCAGATTTCTTGGATATACACTGTCAGCGAGGAATTATAGGCAATTTTCTGAACACAGCATTTGAGTGTAATGGAATGTTCACCATCGTACAAAATCTACATATTTACCATACTCTATAACTTGATAATCTGAACGGGTCTCCTAGCTGAGAAACCATCGCAATCCCTTTTACTGCATTAGCGTGGTTGACTTGCAGCAAGGCATTTGATAGAGCTATGAGACAGCATTCTTTCCCATGGGGTAAAATCCACTTACTGTTGTGGCAAACAGGTTTTGCAGGTCAGTGCTAAACCTGTTTTTTCATAAACAGCCCAAAGGAAAAAAAGTAAGGGGGAGGGGGAAAAATGGCTGCCAATGTTTTAACTCTTTGTTATCAGTGCATGGTGCTCCATTAAAATTTGCCTATTCATTGCCTTACTTTTCAGGAAGACTTGGTGACTACAGTTGGTGAAACTGCAGCAATGGGGGCAGCAGGAATTGTCTTTTGGGGAGGCATGCAATATGCCAGTACTGTTGTAAGTTAGTATGGGTGAACAAAATACCCATGAGCCAACTTTCATTGGAACTCTTGAGACCCCTCCCTTCCTATTTCCTTCTATGTAAACATTTATGGCTTGTTAGAAGTCCTCTAACAGGTGATATAAAGTTAGAATTTCTTTGGGGGATTATTAACCACATCTAATCACATGGGGAAGACATCTTCTTAGATACAATAATGACGCTCCATTTCTGAAATGATATTCAGGAAGCAGTTATAGGGATGAAGAGTTTTGTTGCCTTATTGCTCTAATGTCTTAATTTGCATCAGAAAAATAAATGTGAAATCTACCCAGATCTACCTTAGATAAGAAGTCACTTTATTTTTCTGCTCCTTGACAGTATAAAGCATGGATGGACAACATGTTATTTGTGGAGCCAGTCCAGAACCCTGGCCATTTCTGTCCATCAACCAGCTGATAAAATGGATCAAGTTTCTGACCCCCCCCCCCCAAACAAGTATTTTCAGTGATAAGAGCAATAAATGTGAGCAATCCGTGACGTTTGGAGGAAGGGGAAAAAAATGAAACAGTGCTTAAGATCACTCTTTTAACCCTATTGAAGACCACTGGTTTCCCTGCAGCATTAGCAGTGGAAGACCAATGAATGATCTGCAGTAGAAAAGGGAGCAACGTTACTGCCTGCACAATTATTTTGTAATGAGAATGTGCTTATAGATACTTACATACTGAGTGCATGTATAGATAAGACTGCAGCATGAGGATATGTGCATTTGTAATAATATGTGCATATGTATGTGGATTTGATGACATGTTTATTGAATAGGGTTTTTGTAGCACACATCTGTAGCATGACTGCAGCTTTATACCCTTTAGCCCAGCAGTAGATGTGCCTTTCAGGGTAAAAAGATAATTTAAATGGAATCAATGAGAAAAGTAAGCTGTGAGTAACCAATCCAATTTGAAATAAATGTAGTCTAGATGTAATTAAAAGTACATCAAACTCTTGGTAGCTATAACATATCATGTGAAGAAAAATGTGTGTGAGGTTAGCAATGAAATCAGTCTCTTTGATGTTGACCCAATTTCCTTACTCATGTCAGTACTGAAGACTATAAATAGATTATGCATGTATGAACCAGGTAAGAGACTGAAGCCATAAAGCAGAAGTGGATAATCCTAACCCATGGGCTGTGCATGATTTCCAGCATCCTTTGTGTCTACTACAGCCCTATGTGAGTAGACATGGCTAAAATGTATGGCGCTTTTTTAAAAAAAATTGAGGGTGGAAGAAGAAGCAAAATAGATCCTTTAAGACTTGCAGAGACTCAAAAAAACCCATTAAACCCTTGAAAAATGGCCAAGCCTTACAAATTGGGTTGATCTTTTTCATTTAGGGAGATTAAGAGGTAAATGGGTGGAAGGATGCTTTAAATCTCTGCGTAACCTTGTTCGTTATTGTTGTTAGTATCAATCACCAATCTCAGATCATTCTGAGCTATAGCATTCCTGAAACAGTCTATATAGATCTGGGCTGCTTGCATGTACTCCTGGTGATCTGTCCTTCTTTCCTCCTCTTCTACATGCCCCTTTTCATTTTCAGATTTTCACTAAGATTTTTATGCAGCCACATTTGCATCTTCTGCTGCCCTCCATTTTTTCCTCTTTGAAATTGTTTGCATTTGTGGTTTTAGTAATTTCTTCTAGGAACTCCAGCTTATCATGAGGTCCTTTTCAATGAGTTTCTCCCGTGATACAGTCCTACTTGTAATTGCTCTGAGTTTATGAAAATCCACATTCAAGTACACTCAGCTTTAATTTTCCTTAAAATCAAGAACACTAGCACTACATGTACACTTTCATTTACAGTTCTAGTACTACCATTGAATATGTTTTCCCTTTTTAATTGGTATAAGGTCAAGGATAGATAATTCTCTTTTGCTTTCCATATCCTCTGAGAAGAAAGTTGTTTGCAAGAACATAGCACACTGTCTTTTAAAAAAAAAATCAACAGTACCTACCATTGCCTCCATCTTCTTTGTTTTTCTCAGTAAAGAGAAGGAGAAATGGAGCAAAGAAGTGGAAGAGATGTAACTTCTCTACATTTAGAGTTAAGTTACGTCTGGGAAGGGCCTCCAGCTAAAATCCTGGGGAATCTGACTGTCAGCCTAGAACTTACTGAGCAGGATAGCCTAAAGGTCTGGTTTTTATAAGGCAACTTCCTAATCGAATATAGCATGTAAAAACATGTATGAATGAGCATGTTCTGTGGCTGGAAAGGAGGAGGATGGGAAAAACAGGAATATCCTGAAAGAAGCCATGGTGTACTATAACACTAAACAAAGAGTAATCTTCTGAAATGCAACATGCTGTTAAAGGTTTCTTTTATAACCTAATCACATGGCTAATCTGACTAAGAACTTGCAGTGTTACCACATTAGGGATCCATTTGCCTACTGAGATTTGTCTTTTGATAGTAAATAGCTTACTTGTAAACAAATGTAAAACAGACATGCTTATGACAAGCTAGATGCTGTACTGGGTTTGCTGCTAAGAACTTCCAAGAACCTCTGTATGGTTATTGTGTGGCTGCATTTGGGAATTACAGCATAGAAGGGAAGCATTAACATCTACGTGATTTTTTTGCAATGCATGGATATGGATGGGAAACGTGCAGTCCATGGGCTCCATGTCGCAATATCTATGGACTCTGAGATCACGCCACTGAAATTTAGCAGCAAAAGGGCTAAGGTGGGGCAACTAATTGAAATCAACCCACCAGACCTATGCAAACAAACATATCCAATCTCACCAATAAAACTCCCAGGTTCCCCAGGAAGCTCAAAGCCAGCCATCGTTCTAGGGAAGTCATTACATTATAGGTAGCCTCCTATAGCCTAGCGGCTGCAGAAAAAATATAAATCCCAGGCTGAAAAATGTTTATAGTTCTATTATATGCAGTAATTTTCTACTTATGTATTTCTGCTTGTAAAATGTGTATCCAACCAGTTATCAAACTTTGCCATTACCTCTTTTTGTCAGACTTTGAGTGGTATGAAAAGGAGAAAGGGGCTGATTCCCTTGGAAAGAAATGGGGTGGGTAGAAGTGGATCTTGACTGGGACTATCAGAATCAAGCCATAACTCCTTTCTGTTTTCCAAAGCTTTGCTTGCACAGCCATTTTCCAATACTTTGTTCCAAGAACTTTAGAAATTAATAATAATATTAAAATAAAATTAACTTTTCATGATTATTATGAATACGCCAGAATGCCTTTCTGGATCTCCTGAGCAATTATCTATGGAGGTCTTTCTTAAACTACAAAATATGCCAATTCTCTGGACATAAGCTCCACTGAATTCAGTTGGACTAATTTCTGAGTAGATATATTATAGATTCTATAGGAATGCATCATAAATCAATTATCATTCTTTGTTTTATTTTAGGATAGCTGTCAAAAAGTGAAAGACTACATGAATGGTGCATTGGGACGTTACATCATTAATGTGACTTCTGCAGCCAAGATTTGCAGCAAGGTCCTTTGCAAGAAAAAGGGAAGATGTATTCGTAAACATAGTGACTCAAATGCCTTTTTGCACTTGTTTCCTGAAAGTTTTAGGATCATAGTGTATGCCAATAACACTGAGAAGAAAGCGATTGTGAAAGGAAAACTGGAGTTGGAGGATTTGAAGTTTTTAAGAGATAAATTTATGTGTCAGTGTTATGAAGGCTGGATGGGAGATTTTTGTGAAGAGCGTTCTGTAAAAAAAATATACCAAATATAAGGAAAATAAACACATTGAAGAGTCTTTCCTTTATTCCCAAACAAAACAAAATTGTCATGCAGATCACAAGACAAAGAAATCCAACCTTGATTTGAGGGCAATTTTATTAGATCAACTGAAGACTTACAAATAGCTTTTAAGTTTCTAAGGATAGTAAGATGCTGTAATTAAAAATCCAGGAAAAAAAGGATGCACGTAGTTGTGTAATGTACACAACAATCCTGGGGAGGAAGGATAGACATGGCTGGCTTTCAAATCTTGGGTCTACCTAATTAAAACCTTTGCTCATGTTTTCCTTGCAGAAACCCTGGAGTGGTCTTGGCTGTTATCTAATACCTTCATCTTCTTCATAGTCTCCAAAACTGAATTTAGGAATGTAATCTTGTTACAGTTGCAGCCCCATTTTTTTTCCTTCTACCCTCCCCCCATTTCTGTTTTTTGTTTCTGAATTTTGAAGTATTGTGCTGGATGAAAAGTTCCTGGGAATTTCAATGCTTGCAAGCATATTGTTAATCTTTACCTGTTGTATTACTTCAGTATTGATTTTGAAGCCCTTGTTCAGAGGCTATGAGCTAATTTGTCCACTAGCACCCATATTTCAACTTTCGTAGCCCCTTCTTCCAGGTAGGCAGGGGGTAAAACCTAAAAGATTGGACCTACTTTTAAGGGAAGAGAAAGATGAGTGGGGGTGTAGGGAGGGGAGACTGGCAAAATGGTTGCCTTAGGCCAGAAAATGAGGATACATTTCATTCCTTAAATCTTCAATTCCTCTATGGGGTGATTTCCTCTCCATTAGGGTGGGGGTTAAAAAAAATAAGTACTTTAAGATTATGTAAGACTTAAAGCAGCACTTTCTCCCCTTGACCAACCCCCAAAATCAGTCTTTCCCAAAGGCCAGAAACTCTAGCTTTGTCCAGTTTAGGGATTTTATGACATCACCAACCATGCTCCTTTCAGTCCTTGGAGATCAAGGGAATACTTGCAGTTTATTGATAGATGAATTCCTGGATACAAAGCAAATGAAGATTCTTGTTCAAAAATTAGGGAGTTGACTGTCTCATATAGATCTCAGAACTGTAGAATAGTTTACTAATTAATTGTACTGACTTGTAATGAATTTTAAAAAAGTAAGAATGATTTAAATATATATACATAGTTAGACTGCTTGTCAAGGTCTTTTACAGACAATTGATATTTTGTACTCTATCTTGAACACAATACACACATTCACTTTCTGATTTTGTCGTGATTCATGGTTGCTGTAATGGTTAATTTTTGATGGAGTACTAAAGGAGATTCATTCATTCATTCATTCATTCATTCATTCATTCATTCATTCATTCATTCATTCATAAGCTGCTTCAGTCAGTTGACTCCAAGTGATGTACACAAGAAATAGCTGCAGCCAATGCAACAATGATAGCTATAAAATACAATGATGTACAATCATACAAATCCAATAAACAGCCACTGGCAAACTACTTTGTTATCACTGAAGAGATCTGCCAATTTGTCACTTCACAGAAAGGCAATAAAAAGGAAAATGAAGAAAACTCTGCACTAATTTACTTTATGATATATTGGTTGCATATGGTGAATAGTCCAGTTGCTAGAATTCTTGCAATTCCATTGCTTCTCAATCAGTCTTACTAAAGAGACCATATGAGAATTCTGCATGGAAAAGAAATTACTTTTAGTTTAGGCAAATGCCCGATTTCCTGACGGTTACTACAAAGCCTGGTCTACAATGATCTCGGTTTTACATAAACAGGGCTCAGTCTTCTTACAATGTTAAATATTTTCTTATTTTCCATTTATTTATTTGAAGCATTTATTTAGGTATCAACTTGCATGCTGCCTCAGTCATCAAAATAATTCTAAACAGCTTTCATAGGAGGATTCAAAACAAGGAAATAATAAGAGCAAACAAAAGCCAAAAACATATCCCACTTTGCAGCAGGAATACTTCCCAGAGTGATAGATGGTGGAATCTCTTTAATGTTATAACATTCCATATTAGCCTTTTAAAAGATGTTGATATAAATATTTATCTGACCAATTACTGGAAGAGAGGCAAGCTTCCACGTTTTGCTCTCAGTATGCATCTATGTTCAGCATACATTTGTTAATAGAATATGTTTTACCAAAAGTTACCTGTTGCTAACTCAAATAATAATAATAAATGCCGGAAGATTCTTACGAACAGCACACATTTTGCTAATTCTTTTTATGCTCTCTGTCTGAATTTTTTTAACTTGAGAAGGTTCTAGGCAAGTATGAACATACATTAATTCATAGCCTATATTTTCAATGGGATACATTCTTCCAATTTTTGCTAGGTAAGATCCCATTTATACCAAAATCAATAAATATTTAACTGAGCAGTCTTAGTTAAACTGATTTGGAGGGGTGTTATTGCTTATATGCACATATGTATTCCTACTCAAATATTAATATTCAAATCTTGTTTTGTTTCACCATTCTACTTTGATTGATGTTCATAATGTCCTGTAATTCTCTGAAGATCTCATTATTTATCTGAGATTATATCAATATTTTAAATATAGTAAAATATAATATTCATAACAATACTGGGGATATACTTTTTTGCAGGAAGACTAATGAATAATAAAGTCATGCAGTGATACTAATGAATAATAGTTATTCATGTCCTGAAATCTCCCTTTGTTACCTGTTGAAATCTATGTCCGCTGCTTCTGTCACCATAGCAAGAATAATAGGATCTAATAGTACACTGAATTTCTGACACCCATTATTTTATAATAATTTTCCAGTTTCATAAAATTATAATTTCTTATATTCTTGATTGAAAGAGTCACACTCAGTTTTATATGTGGGGTCAGCCTTCTTGTCCTATATATCCTTACAAATATGCATACAAAATCATCAAATTAATGCTATTCACCTTGAAATATTATAACAAAATATAATATTTTAACCTAGTCCACATGATGACTGATGAATAATTTCTGCTGAGTACTATTTACCTTCACACTAAATAGAATAATTCAACAAACATCTATCCATTTCTAACAGCCATTGGTTCAAAATACATATTAAACCAACAGATGATTTTTTGATGATATGACTCTGGACTTTTGGGACATCCCCCTTTTGTACGTTATTTACATATATGCTTCTCGATATCAAAATATTATTCATTTTTATTATTTCATTAAACATTTTTGTGAGCCTAACTATCAATAATTCTTTAAAGGTTCACTACATTTATCTATTAGCCCAGGGATTTTATCTGTCAGTACCTTTGTGATTTTTGTACCTCCAAGAATAAAACCAGGGCCTCTAAATATCTCTATGTGCTAAAGTAATTAAAAAAACCCCTCTGTAATAACATTCACAAAATCTTATATATGAGCATGAGTACTTTCATGATTTGGAGAGTTATCCAAAAATAACCTAAAACCTATTACAAATCCTATTATGATTCGTCTTTCTTATATAAGCTTTTATATAATAGAGTTCCTAACACATCTCCTGTAGTATTACTGCATTCAAGCATCTTTTTAGAATATATTTTCATAAGCATCCATACCTGCTGTTCTGTCTTCTGCGAGCAAACTTTTATATGCTTACTATATACATATTTCATTCATAACAATGCGCTGATGTTTTTCTTGTAATTTCTTACCAAATGCCCTAAGAGATACATACCATCTTTGTTTTAAATCAGGGATACACCATGTGTAGCTTTCCAAATACAGTGGTACCTCGGGATACGAAAGCCTCTACTAACGAACATATCGGGTTATGACCAGCTTCAGCAGGAAAATTTTACCTCGGGTTACGAACTTGCCTCTACTTATGAACCGGATCCGCGGCCATTTTCCCTGCTGCCACGCAGTCGCGGCTTC